TACTTTGTCCTGACAACTTCCTCAAAAAACTGGAGCTCGGGCTTCTTGGATGGTCTGTTAGTAAAATTACCCACACAGCATGTCAGCACCTGTCGGTGATAATATTAATGATTTACACAGGTGAGCTGGGAGGGTTATAAGCCCCACCCCCTCCGTGTTAGCCTAATGTGTTTGTCATTGCGCCGACGTCTGTTCGCATCAGCTCGTGTCCACTCCTTCATGTGGATCGAGCTCGCTTTCTTCAACTCGTTTGCCAGAAACTTTAAACTGTCTGGATACAAGTCACATGACCACACGACTGTGACATCGGTGCCAGAACACACACACGGTTATTCATATACCTGTGGGGACATAACTGACATAATGCTTTCTCTAACCACAGCCGAACTGTAACCCTGACACTAAAACCACAAGTCGAGGGGACGATCCCCACAAAGACATGAATACACACTCACACACACACGGGGAGGTTTTGGGGTGTGTGCAGCAGGAATCTGTGAACACTCAGGTGAACAACAGCATCAGTGGCTGCCGGCGCTCAGCACGGCCGCCGGGAGCCTGAACGCATCACCACGCCGAGGTCACCGGACAGGTGTGTGACATCAGATTTCACGATGAAGCGAGCACGCTCGATTGTAAACGGCAGCGCCTCAGGAGCGAGCGCGGAGTCGCTGAGCATCAGTCGCCTCTGTGAAACGGGACGGCGTCCAAGTGAAACGCCGACCTGCGTTTACAACGGAGCCTGAAGCAGAACAAATATCGCTCAGTCTACGTCCTGTTCTTCTCTAAGGTCAGAGGTCAGATTGAACCCCGTTTGCTTATTCTGACGATGTTTTCATGCTGCGTTACCACAGCTCTGAATATGTTTACAAACGTGTTCGGGTTCTTTGTCTTTTTCGTGTGATGGAAGTGATGACCCCTCCCCCTGTGGCGCTGAACACTACAGTACAAAGTTTAACCTTTAACCCCGAGACCCTTCAGACTAAATGTTTCTCCTCGGTACCTGACCCATATTTTAGTTTCCTGACCGTCACCTGACATGTTTCGTACTCGAACGAGGTCGGCGTGGTGATGCTGTTTCAGGACGCCGCTGCGGCATGGCGCTCGAAGGCCTGAGGTGAGGAAACTCTGTGCCTCAGAGGCCTGATGGCGTCGGGCGACGGCGCCTCAGGCTCCGGGTGAGCGTTTAACGGCGGCAGCCACATCATCACTGTCGTGTCGATCAGCTCGTCCAATGAGAGAAGGTGTTGTTCCTGAGAGCCTTGCTGATTGGTGGCAAGGAGGCGCCGAGTGTTGAGATGGTGGCGGTCCAGGAAGTGGGGATGGGGGGTTAGATAATTTCAAAATAAAACTAAAGAACAGAGAACAGCCTTCATTTACAAATACGTCAGTTTTCTTCGATTAAGTTCAAGTCCAGCTCTGTACAGTCCCGCTCGAACACCGCCTGCTGCGCCGCCTCACGCTCGTCTGCTTCCTCCTCTCCTTCGTCGTCCTCGCGGCACTCCTCGTCGCTCTCGCTCAGCGGCCCGATGCTGGTCCTGCCCAGGCACTCGGCCGGCGAGCAGGAGCCCCGGAAGTCGCCCATGAAGGGCTCCATGCCCATGCAGAGGTCGCCGCCGCAGGCCAGCCTGCCGCCGCCACGCTCCAGACACTGCGGGTCGATGCTGCGCGTCTGCGGGACGAAACATTCACAGCTGTAAATCTGCCGCTCGAAGTCTGAGCGTTACACAACCTGAACAGCCAATAACGCAACAGAGGCGGAGCTAATACTAGTTTTGGGAAACACGGACTCTCGTTTCACTGTCACGCCGACGACTGTCAGATCTACTGAGAAAGAACTCGATGGCGTTAAATC